CCCTCATGTCAGAAGTGTGAAAATTTGTTTCGTAATACATTTTTTGACCTAATATGGCTATTCAAGTTCCCAATAAATAATATTCATTTTCAAGTGAAAAGAATTAATTCACTTAGATTTCACAAATTTAAATATTGTATTGAAATAAGTTGTACATTTGGCATTATGGATATAGAACTCAATAATTTAAATATTAAACTAACAAATGTTATTTTTTTTAATTATTTCAATTCCGCTACAATAATAACAAGAAATTTGTTAATAAATGTATCCCTAGTTTCCGACAAGACCTGTGTCAAAAGAACAGCCTCTGCTTAACAATATTAATATAATTGGAAATTGTACGTATATTATTTTGTCATAACACCTGCATGAGTACAAAGTATATTCCTAAAAACACTGAAACGGTACTGTTTCTGTAATTCAGGAGTTAAAAATTGTATATAATTTTAAATATGAAATTTTTTATTTCATTGAGTTATCAAAAGTCTATGTAGTTCCATTTCTCAACTTGAGATTTGCGGCTGCTGAGAAATAAACGCAATTCCTCGTTAATAAATCATTCCATCTACAACATGAAAGTAGATTCCTATAGGCAGCTGAATAAAAAGTTCTGCAATGCTCATGAATAGTTCTGTGATGTCCCAGATCTGCGATTTCCTTTGAGAATTAGTACTGTTTTGCTCTGGAAAAATCATTCTGTGATGCCCCTAATGAACTAGCTCGGTGATGTCCTTTAAAAATAGTTCTGTCTTATAATTTGAGAAAAAGTTCAGTGACGTGACTGGAAGATAATTTTTTAGTCATGTTTAAGATTAGTTTTGAAGAGATCTATGATAGCAACAATCAGTATTATTCAATTCAAGTACCTTTCCTACTTTACTTTGAAGTTATCTACCTACTTTTTTTATCTCGTTCCGCGTGAAGGGTATGAAGATTGAAGTGAGAACTAATTATATAGGACTAATTATAAAAACAATTGTTCCTAAAAATAAAACTGGGGTCTCATGAATCGCCATTTCCACCCTAAAATCTTTGTGGCTCAACTTCAATAGAAAGTTGGAACCGGACCTTGCATAGAGAAATCTAATACTAAAAGTAATGCAAACGAATGTTGAAAACCATATATTATATTATACGCCATGATAATAGTATTATAATTTATTTGAACTATAATAGAGAGTTCATAAATAAAATAAGTGTTGAAAATATTGTATAACATTATCGATGTTTCTGAACCTTTGCTTGTACGATAAAAAATCATATTTTTTCGTGCAAATGACAAAGACGAATAAAAAAAATTGCAGCCGATTGCCTAATAGAACGACATAAAAATGAATTCATATGGGATGAATAGAGGAGGCTATGAAAGCCCATGGGCATTCTCCAGATAAATAGAATAACATATATTCAGCCGTAATGAAAAATAATCTAATATACAGAACAAAAATTAATAATAACAGCATAAATTCATTATAACAGCATAAATTCATTATAACAGCATAAATTCAATACAAATTTGTTGCATTTGAGCCGACAAATATCTTATAAGTGTATTTCTCATCTCTGACTGATTAAAGACCGTACAGTAAGGAAAAGTAAGACTTAAAACTAGACTTTTGTTACCGACTACGGTATTTAATTAAGACATAAATATAATGCCCATGAGCTAAATTATTGTACACGTGTTTGCGGATGGTGCAGCGGACGACTTTCCATGATGACGCGTCAGACTGGAACCTGTTTGGGGCTGCGGTGTTACGTCACCAGCAGCTTTCTCGCCGCGGGGTACGGGCAAATTTCCCCCATCGTTGCTACTTTGTGCTAGCATATATGATCACTTTTACTTTCGATTATTGACCTAAAATTCGAAGTAAGCAGGCAAGTCATGCTAGTGCCCACTCGTATGTGCCTAGGTTCTATATTTAATAAAGTTTCGGTGATTTTAACATGTCGTCTGAATTATTATTGAATCGTCTTTCGCGTTGAAGTTAATCTCTATTTGTCTCCTTTTAATTGTAAACCTGCTACTCATTTGTGTATCGCAGCGTTTTAAATTGACTCAAGCATTGCCAGTTTCAAAAGTTCATCATTTATTTTTTTTATTCATTTTACATTTAAATTTTTTGCTCGCATTAAACTCTGGTACGAGATTACCTGATAGACTTCTACATGCTAATCTCATGATGCAAAATTAGATTTGTGTTAAGTATTAAAATCACTTGTTTGCCAAAATCGCAAGTGAACCAGGAATTTAAAAGCAAAAACAATACCACAAAAATTCACCATATCTTATAAGAGAAAACGTTTCGAAGTTCAGCCCCGAAACGATTTGCCGATGGAGCTGGACTCCGAAACGTTTTCTCTTATGAAGATATGGTGAATTTTTGTGGTATTGTTTTTGTTTTAAATTCCTAGATTTGTTTTAAAGTTAAAACGAAATAGGATAATTTTTTTATTAGAAATTATTAATAGTATAATTTCGTTGGCTTCATATATTCTTCCTCCGCATCGTAGTCGTATAGGCTGCTAGCCCATCAATCTTTATTGAATATTATCATTAATGCAGAACTCCATTAGGAAGAGAAAGATCTCCAAGAGGGAAACTAGCGAGAAAGTCCCTAACGATAATCAGGTCTTCTAGAGGCGTTAAATCCCCATCTGTCATTTGCTGCAATCGTGAAAAAAAAACAATATATATAAGGTTTTCGAAACTGATGATGAGATAAAAATTGAAAGAATAGGTTCTTCAAGAATGATTATCAATTAAACTTATTATGAGATTAAACTTGTCACGTTTTCTAGTGGTGTTAAATCCCCATCTGTCATTTGCTGCAATCGGGAAAAAACAGTATATATAAAGTATTTGAAACTTTTGACGAGATATAAATTGAAAAACAGGTTCTTCAAGTGTAAGTAACTGCGGTAATTCAGTATATTATTTACATGCTCTCAAGTTTAACTTATTTGATTTGACCACGTGTTAAATTTTTTATTATACCTGAACGATCATTTGTGATTATTGTAATTTTTGATAATGCGCTTCACTTATCCACTCGCGAATTAAAATTTCTAAGTGACCAAAATACCCAGTCTTTGAATCATGCGAACCAAAAATTATTGAACATTAATTTAGAATTCATTTATTTTGATGGTAAAATTTTATGTGCTTGTGGGACACTTCCGCTGACAAAATACATGGATATAGAATTTTGTATATCTGCTAATTTGAAAAAAATCACGTGTCGTTCACTAGTTAATCTAAAGAGAAAGTACATTTCGTAAGATTTTTATCAATGATATCGAAGAGAATTGTCGTTCAGTCGCGAGTGAAAAGAAATGAACCATGCAATTTTAGAGCAGTTCATCGACTGAATTTGTATAAGTTCCCCATGTTAATGATTTAAAAACATGAGACGATTTACTATGAATGCTGGAGGTCAATAAACTCTAATGCTCAATATTATTCAAGATTACATCCTCCAACTTAACTGAAAATATGATAGTATGAGAGCATTACAACCTGTAAATAAATTCATGTTATAATTTTAAATAAAGTTTTTTTTCGGAATATTTAGTCACTGTTCTATTCGTTTTATATCAATTGAGGAGAAACCGACTGATAAATTATTGTTCCTTTTAGATGGATAACTTTACGCCGTCACCTTCGTGCTGATCTCGTTACTCCTTCACCTTCGTGCTGATCTCGTTACTCCTTCACCTTCGTGCTGATCTCGTTACTCCTTCACTTTCGTGCTGATCTCGTTACTCCTTCACCTTCGTGCTGATCTCGTTACTCCTTCACCTTCGTGCTGTTCTCGTTACGCTAAAAAATCACATATCGTTCACTATTTAATCTAAAAAGAAAGTTCATTTTGTAAGATTTTAATAAATACAGTGCATAGCAGTTGCTTAAGCGTGATTGTGTACATTGCACTGAGCCCCAATCGCGCATGTAAGTTGATCTGAAATAGTTTTATTTTTCTTAGGTTCGTAAAACACAAATACTAAAGCCAAACTCACAACTGCAGAGTCAGTTTTTTTCACTTGAATTCATTACTCAGAAGCTGTTCTCATAACCGGCTAGTAGGTACAAAGTCGCTTTAGTAATGTAACCGCTAGATATTATGGTTATATTAGGCATTCGCATGGTGTGCGCTAGTCGATTTTCATAATGAAAGTGAAATTTTCAGTTTCAAGGAAAGTATTGTTTGTTTCACAACCACTGCGAAGGATAAGATTTAAATACAAATGATAAGCTAGGTTTGTGTATAATAAAGCCATTCAAATGGATAATGGATTGACAAATAACATTTTCGTTGCTCGATTGTCCTATTAAATTCAACATAGGTCTTTAAAAAAATTGTCCATCATCGTTACGCTTTTTTGAGATATTTAATCTAAGCTACGTAACTAAAATTTATCTGTCAATTTCGGAGTATTTAAATTTGTAACTGCTTCAATTAGAATTCCGACATGAGAAAAAAGTTCTTCTATATAGGATTATATATTGAAATTGAATAATACGAGTATATGTAATTTACAGATAAATTTGCCAGCAAAAGTTTTACTTCAAAATTGAGAAGACTAACCTAAATAAAGTTCTACTTATTTAACATAGACACAGTGGCAGTTCTGCTAACTCTCCTCCCATTCTGTTGTAGGCTCTCAAACGCAAACGCAGGACAGTGCGACATTCTTGTGCCGGACGGCGCTTTTAACATTTAGCTAGGGCTATACATTCAAAACTCGCTAAGTGAACGTAAGTGCTTATGACCTATTTTCTTGTCTATGATTGGTGGATTTTGCTCGATAGGCCGTCAATGATTGGCTGATGAACTTACGATCTCTTAACTTTTTTTGAAAGTATAGGCCCAGTAGTATTGTCGTCACTTTTAAATGCTTATTGTGGTTTATTCGTACAGACTTTTTCATTTGTGAATGAAAGAAAGTTTGGAATTAAATTAAGTGGAAAAATGTGGGATCAAATGAAAATGCAATTATTTTTGTTATTATTGTATTTTTTCTGCTAAGCAACTCTAAAATTTCTACGTTTTGTCTTCACCATTCAAAAACGAGACCACGAGGTCAATGATCTTGTCTTTTATCGCAAAACTTTACAATTTGACCGAAACAAAAGTTAAATTTACTGGAACTAAGAAAACGTATTAGTGAATAGAATCAAGAATCTGAATCAAAGTTCTTGAATAAATAACATGAAAATGTACAACTCGTTTATAATTAAAATAATAATATTTTACCTTTTTTCATACTTATGTGCTTGATCCACTACCTGACTTGTTAAAGAGCTTACTTACGCTGTCGCCAACGGCTGATCCAACATCTATTACGCCCCCAAAAAGCGTTCCTAACCATTGGCCTTTTGTGAAGAAAATATCAGAAATTCCACGTCTGAAGACACTTTCGGGCTGAGCCGGAAGACTACTCACATCGTCGTCGTATTCTTCAAAATCAAAATTGGTATTGTCCTCGAGAGGAAAACCATTTGTGTCATCGGAAGTGGTTGTCAAGAACGAATCGCTTGTGGTATCAGCAGGAGTCGCGTTATCAGTCACGGTAGGCAATGGAACTCCAACATTACTACTCGCTCCTGAATTAACTGAAGATTCGTCAAAGAAATTGTCGAAAATACTATCAGCCGTCAATGAATCTGTCGCCGTTTGGTCGGCTTGACGTCCTGCACTTCCGCTGGTAGCTTGGACTGAAGAGGAGATACCTACTTGGTTTGCATTTCCTAAGTTCCCACTGGGTAAGGGAACTCCGACATTTTGGAAACCATTCGTGGGAGTACCTGAGAGCATTGCATCTCGAAGCCGCTCAGCGATAGTAGTTCCAGTCGTTGAAACGGCTGCTTGTTTTTGCTGATTTCTCAAGTCAGACAATGACAGAACTTGGATTCCATTTAAACCGTCCAAAGACCTGATGAGATCGCCGACGGTCATTCGAGCATCTACTGGCTGACCGGCTTCGGTCACCAAAGTGGGTGTTGGTCTGTTGGAAGCAATGGCCTGAGCAGTGTTGCGGCCTGATCCAATTTCTTTAACCGTGAAGAAGTTTTCTTGCCTATTTCCTGTACCACTCAACAGAGGTAGAGGTGCACCTACTCCTCCCAGGGTTCCCAAGTCAATGACAATTTTATTATCGTCTGTGAATACTCCAGGAATTGGAGATGCTCTCGACTCACTAGCTGGACTTGTGCTAATCGAGTTGGTGTTGAGAGGAGTTCTAAAGGAGCTTGGAGGCCCGAGGTTTAACGAAGATCCGAGTTTAATGGCTGGAGTGATTGACTGTTCAGATTTAAATCCTGCTTGATTCATTCGAGATCCCAATAACTGGAGAAGGAGAAGGTCGTCGTCATCAACATCGTCAACGTCCAAAACGGGTGTCCTGAATGGCGGGTTAATGACGGTTTGCAGATTGGGAAGAGTAAAAGCCCTTGTAGCCTCAAGGAGATCACCATCGTTATCAAAGAGTGATTTTCCGACGTTTGCGACGTTGGAAGACGGCTTCGAGGTTAATGATGAGTGGGAGAATGCTTGGGAGTTAGGCGACGATTGGGAGTTGGCTGATAATTGGAAATTGGGTAATGATTGAGAGTTAGTTGATGATTGGGAGTTGGCAGACGATTGGGAGTTGGATAATGATTGAGAGTTGGATGCTGATTGGGATTTGGATGATTGTTTGTCGTCGGTCACTTGTGCTTGCGATACAAGAAGGACATTCGGTGATGTTGTCGGAATATTTTCGTTTCGGGATTTAGACTTTGTTTTTCTTCGAGCACCAGTGACAGTTGTGAAAGGTTGGTCCCCTTCAGACTTGATGTGAGAAATAAGAGTCGCTGATTGGATTAACGAAGACGTCGTGCTGTCTAAATTCGAATCGGAAGAAGCAAACGCGTCGAGAGAGATAGGTTCTAGAGCTATGGCAGACGTGGGAGCAGGCTGGTTCGTTGCCGCCGGAGACCTGCTGTTGCGTGCGGCGTCTTCGAACATTTTGGTGGCTAACAATTCTGCAAAATACGAATCGGTACTCAGCCATTCGATAAAGAACAACAAGCTTTTACTTCACATCATTATTTAGGTAAAATTAAATATTGAACAAATTTATTTTTATTTGTGTCCAATTGAATATATTTTCAATACATATTGAAGAGATTTTTATATAACAATTATTTTGAATAACACTTGAAAACGACTACTCAGGAGATAACTGTTGATTTCGCAATGTAAGGAAAACAAAAATGTGGATTAAACCAAATGAAATTTTTGACCAAAAAGACTATGCTTAACAATCATTAATTCATGAGTCCATTCCAAAGGTTCCCTAGTATTATGCAGCCAGCATGCGAATTAGTAGGAAATTTTAAAAATAATTCATGACATTAAAAAAAGAGAAATAACAGCTCATAGGCCTGTTGATGAAGAGATAATTTTACCTTTGTCTTCTTTCTTTTTAGTTCTTCTATCCACTATTAGAATATTTGGCTGGTCTTCTTGTTCTACTAGAACTGCTCCTTTCAGTTCTGCAGACGTTAAACTTTGTACAATTGTTGGAGATACTGCAGGAGCTTTTGGATTTGTAGCCAACTTAGAAATTTTGGTTGTTGACTTGAACATATCTTCTTCAGGTAGAGACAGAACCGCAGGGAGTTCAAAATTTTGTTTGATATGTTGAGACATAACTTTCTCAGGTTGTGATTGAACTGCAGAAAGTTTTACATTTTGTTTGATAGACTGAGACATAGTTTTCTCGGGTAGAGATAGGACCGCTGGGAGTTCTAAATTTTGTTTGATAGGCTGAGTTGTCACTGCTACAGGCAAAGATGAGCTTGCAGGTCGTTCAAGGTTATGAAAGACAGGTGCAGCTTCAATTTTTTGTAGTTGCGATTCGGCGGCTGTGAGGGTCTCTGCATGTACAATTGGAGCTTGAGTAATTTTTAGTCCATTGTCAAAATGAACCGAATGTAGTGAAACGGGTGGTAACGTAAACGTATCTCTCTGTGGTTTTACTGAACTTGAACCTTCCGTTACTTGTGAGACAGATAATGTGGAGCTCTGTGGACGTGGTGATGTTACCAAAAACCCAGAAATAGATTTTGCTCGCTGGTGGTTAGTTGAAACCGTGGAAGATTTTCCGGCATCTGGGGACTTAAACTTCGAAGCATCAGGCTTTACTTTTGGCGACGGAGAAGATTTTGACTCTGGGGCCGTAGGGCTTGTGGTTTTTGACGCTGGAGGTTCATATTCATCGCCATAAGCTTCCATGAGAAGCTCTTCCAGCATTTGGTGCAGTTCCTCCTCAGTTATCGGGGGAGGGGCCGTATTTCCAGCTGGGAAAATATCGCCAGTCTCAGCTATATTGCACTTTTAATAAATAACAATATCGGTAGATTTATATGGAAAATACCATACTTGAATTTTTAATTAAGACTTCTAATTTTGAATTACAGTTTGGAATTTAAAGAATTTACATAATTTGGCTTTTGACTAGTTTTTATTTTAAACTTCTTCAAATAATTTTCTTTGGGTTTTTGATTTACAATATCTGTGGATTTATATGGGAAATACCATACTTGAATTTTTAAATTAAGATTTCTAATTTTGAATTACAGTTTGGAATACATAAAATTTACATATTTGGGCTTTTGAGCTGTATTTATTGTAAACTTCTTCAAATAATGTTTTTGGGTTTTGTTATCTCTGAGACTACTTTTCTATTTGAATTTGAAAAAGTTCTCTTCTACCGTCATATTCACAACTAAATAGTGGTTTTTCAATTTCAACCTTTTTATGTACAATATTACGTTGTAAAGTCAACGTCGAAATAAATTCACAAACTTGTTAAAATAGATAGAGGTAAAATGGAAAATGCGAGGAAAAGAATCCATTTACATAAACGATGGGTAGAAAAATATGTACAGTAGAAAGGAGGATATTTTCGGAAATATGAACATTTAAGTGGGAGAGTTAGTTCTGGACAGATCATTCAGAAATAAAAAAGAGGAGTAAGGGAAGCACAATTAAAAAAAATCAGACATTAAAAATAATTTACATTTAAATCCTTCAAAAACAATTCGATTAATCAGAAGTATCTATCGAAATTCGAGGAGAATCTCATCCAAAAATGTACATCGTAAGGAATAACGTTATAAATTAAAATATAACCAGTTAGTTTGGGAATAAACTTTGGATTTATGTTATGGAAATATTTTCATTTAAATTTTATGTTTAGAAATGTTTTCGGAAATGGAAACGTTTTTGTCCCTAAGTTGCTCACCGGCCAGAGATCGGATGTCTCCCTCAGCATCGCTCGGTGGGGCGGGCATTGCAGCGCACTGCATCAACGAAGAACAGAGCACAACCACGGCAATGGCTGTAACACCCAGAGCTACGTGCTCCATCTTCCTGACAGTCATCGTGCCTGAAATAAAATTGTCTGTTAAATTCTTTCCAGTGTAAAGCCAAACCACATAAGTCGTATAAATTTTATTAGTCTATTCTGACTCCTTTGTTAACATCTCGTAAAATACCAGGCATTTATCCAACCCACTCATTATCTCCAGGACCTTGTTTGTATTAAGGGAGTTACTTAGAAATTTTTATTTGATTGTGGAATTTATAAAATAAATTCATACATGTTAGTCAACAATGTAAAGGATATTTTATTATCGAACTTGAGCTGGCATGAACGCATGTTAAAAGCTTCTTTGAAACCAGGACTTAGACCACATGACTTCGTTTTTTGCTTCTATGGTCGGTGTCGGTTGGAAAAATCAGAGCTTTCAGTTTCATAAATGTCAAGGCCAAGTATAACCTGACTTTAATTATTCCACGAGCTGTAGGTTTTTTTGAGAGCTTCGGTGGTGTGGTCATAAGTATTAAATACATGTATTTAAAAACAATGTAATAAAATAATTTCCATTTGAATTTTTTTCCTCTTACTTGAAAATGCGTTAAAGATTAATAATCAACGTCAAGTTCTTCCCCCACATGGAGGCTGTGATTAAATTGATCACAGCCTCTTCACTTTCAGTCACGTAATTGCGGTCATTAAGATAAATTAATCAGCCTGCGGAACTGAAAAAAACAAGTCCTTCTTGCATTAATTTATAAATATTATGGTTTAGTTATAACTTATATATTGAGCGTTTTTACTTGACAATCCTTCATAATTAGTTATAAGCTGCTAAACATCTATTTTGACAGCCAGAGAATTTCAATGGAACGTTGTACAATATGATATTTATTTAAAATAGTTATGAAAATTCAGACGCTTGTATGGTTCGAACTTAAATAAAGTAATTTCTTAATGGGGGCGAGAGTATATTAAAATATATGAGATTAATGGAGTTATAATTAGGAAATTAGAAAATCAGCAATATTCTTCATATTTGAACAACAACTGAGAATATAAATTTTCATTCTTTTTTTCATTATGCTCATAAGATTTTTGTATCAATATCTGAAAAGTATCAAGTGAAAATCATATTTATCCACAAACTTTTGAGGAAAATAAAAAAAAATAATTAAGATAATAAAATTAAATAACTTTGAAATTTTTACGTAGCTAAATGAGGGGAAAAGTTGGAAAGCAGGCAAGATCCATCATTTTGCATGTTTCGTCGTTTTGCATGTCTAGGCCAGCGGCATATGTGGTTTCCAATAGAAGAGAGAGTGTGACTCGGTGACAAAGCGCTTTAGTGACAGCTCAATCCTTCAGGTACAAGAGAGATTGTAACGGTCGGTGACCGTTAATAACATAACGAAAACGTTATATAAGTTTCCGTTATATTATTGCGAATTGTTATCATATGATAATAATTACGTCCAAAATTGTTTTGTGTGTCTAACGGGTAGTTTTACATGTTTGCTGGATTTTGAATGTGTTGTTGAAAGATGCAACTTAAATCTTAAGCACAATGTATTTGGTTGAAATTCTTGAACTAAAAACAGTTTAGCGTCCGTCATAATTTTTTCGGAATTAAGAGGCCAATATTTGAATACGAGTTTACCATATCCTAGCATTCAGTATTTATTAGTCTTTGTATATGTAAAGTTACTGAACATGGCCAAATTGCCATCCCCGCATAAATCACAGGCTTGTATTTATAAAAACTTGCCATAAAAAATTATTGTAAATTAATCATACTGTCTCGTACAAGTCGGTTACTCAAGTTAATTTGTCCTCTCATTTTCCCTTTCCCTTCTTGCATCACGGCCTCACTTCTGTTCCATCATCTCGAGATGTCCACTTTCTTATGATTGTCTCGGCAGTGAACCCCTCCCAGTCGCTCTTATTAAGGCTGCGTGTAATATCATTTATAAGCTCATCTCTTCGATCATTATAGAAGCTAGGGATAAATTTTCATCATTAGGAACTACACGTTTTACAAACAGAGATGCCTCTGAAATATAAAATAATTACATTTTATTTTGTGATCCAACTAGAGCGAGTGTTATCTCTTTATTTCATGTTGCATATAGATGTAAATTTTTGACTCAAATGTGCAATATCTTGAAAAATGTCATTATTTGAATTGGTGTTAAGTTTTGAATTACTGCATAATCGATTACATTTCATAGTTCTGATAACATGACAGTTCATTAAATTTTGACTATGAACAATTAGACTATGAAAGATGAAGTTATTGCGCCATTTTCATCATTTACAAATTTAGCACAAATTATATGCTATAGTACGATTATCGATCAAAAAACGCTCAATTCGAAAATTTGTGGCAATCACAAAAATAGATGCAATTACACTATGTAATTGTTATGGTATATCCACGAGCAGAATTATAGCAATAAAATACTCGAGTGATTCAGAGATAAAAAATTTGCGTCTTTAATTATTGCGTTAAATATGTGATTAAATTCTGGGAGATTTATTTGTGATTAAATTCGCTGGCTTTGAGCTGAAACTCATCAGGCTGGATTGATGATAAAACTCATCTGGCTATGAAATGATTGAAGGAAATTTATTTTGTAAATAACTTAGATTTTGGTTCATCAGTATGACCTGTATTTCACGGAACAGCGTCGGAGAGTTGAGAGTAGTGATCATGACTCATGTTGATCAAAAATTGAGGCTACCGATGACATTTTATTTATTTCGTTACCCCGGCATCCTGACTATATACAGGCTTGATTCCAATGGCCATGGCCCATTAAATCCTGCTCAAGATGAGGTAGGATTAATATAGGTTAGGAAGACCTACTGAGAGCGAAGAAGCTGAGATGTGGGGTAAGCTTATGGTTTGGAATAGATTAAAAAAATTTCATGTATATCATTATTTCCAATTCAAGTAATTTTATGAAGAAATATATGGGGAAATATACAAAAAGGTACATTTTAAGGGGTATAGGAAATATTTAGGTAACAATGAACCGGCAATGATATTATTCATCAGATGATATTGATGCAAGATAAAATTCATGAAATTTTTTTTATTGCATAGTAAATAGTAATCATTTTCAAGGGACAACACAACACGCTTAGGAATATCCTATCGAGACAAAGGGAAAGTGAAAGGCTACAAATTTTTTTAGATTCTACCTTGACTCCTTCCCTCCATCTACGACAAGGCCAAGATGTCCATAAAATATAGTTTTCATATTTACGCTTACTGTGAAAACTGAACATATGATGGTCGGTTATCTCAATTATTCTCGTGAACAAAGCTTCATTGAAACTGGCCATTAAATTTCCAAACTCCGAAGCCAAATAATTTGTATTTGGGTACTCTTTCAGATAAAACTGTACAATTATGTTAACTAGCATGAAGGATAATTACAAACTTTAATTTAAAGTTATTTTAGATGGCAAAGTAAAATACATCGTATATTCACATTGAAATGAACACGTAGCGGTCAGTGTGGGGAATTTAAATGCAGTGCAAGACTTCAATGAAACAAAAAATTAGCTTTTATCTGCATCTTTGATAATTTGGAGGGAATGTTGACGCAATGCGACATTTCTGTCAACATTTATTTCCTGTTCGTGATTAGATGCACGAATCACAGTTAAAGGCGTGCGATCCATTGTAAAATAATGAACTTCTCGTAGAAATTACTCTTTAAAAAGTTCGAAATTTCTCAACTTTATAATTTTTTTCAACAAATTTAGAAAATCATCCCCTTGTTTGTATCTGTACTTCAGCTGAAAAATGCAACAATACTTTGCCTGAGTGAAATTTTACCCCTCCAATATCAGTTGGAACTTTCTGCTTAATCTTATGCTAGTAAAATAGCAACGAATACGGTCACCAATAGCAAGTTTTTTTACAGTACGGTCACAAGGAAAAATGTTAAGCGAAAGTTCTCAACTATACGTCACAAAGACTACGTCTGCAAGTCTCCAGGCGTACGTCTTCAAGGGTAAGTCTTAAAGGGTACGTCTTCAAGCGAATGTCTGCAAGCGTACGTCTTCAAGTGTAAGTCTTTTGGCGTACGTCTTCAAGTGTAAGTCTTTAGGCGTACGTCTTCAAGCGTACGTCTACAAGCATACGTCTGCAAGCGTACGTCTTCAAGTGGAAGTCTTTAGGCGTACGTCTTCAAGTGTAAGTCTTTAGGCGTACGTCTTCAAGCGTACGTCTACAAGCATACGTCTGCAAGTGTAAGTCTTTAGGCGTACGTCTTCAAGCAAACGTCTGCAAGTGTACGTCTAGAAGCAAACGTCTTCAGGCGCACGTCTGCAAGCATACGTCTGCAAGCGCACGTCTGCAAGCATACGTCTGCAAGTGTACGTCTTCAGGCGTACGTCTTCAAGCATACGTCCACAATCGTATGTCCACTATCGCACGTCGCCTACCGTACGTCTCGACTCGCACGTCGAAACTGTAATCAAGTGACAGTGAAAGTAGCGTTTGTCTCAGCGGACGTTCGACGCTCACACACCACCTTTACGGACGCGCAAACCGACGAATGCGTGAGCAGAAGCACGTGTTTACGAACACGCTGATGACTGCATGAGTGTGCGTTTTAAGAAATATTTCGTGTACGCCTCCAGGAATTTATGCCTTTGAGCGGGTCTGCTTATGACTGCATACGATTTTTTCGTTTCAATCGGATGCGTTTGATTGCATACGATTTTTTAGTTTCAAAGTCCCATCAATATATGTTAATCATTTCGAACATATAGATAGTTACATCCTCAAATTCATGAACGAAACATACGAAGAAGTTTTCAATCTTAAACGGGATTAGCGACATTGCGACTGAGATTTTGCGCTTGAAAAAGATGAACAATTAATTTTAGTATAATTTTCACTACCAATAGCAATTTTTAAATATTATAATTTTTAGGCAGTAAGATAATTGATTATAACTTACCGTCCAGTTTTATTCACCACTTGTCAAGTGAACCTGAATTTAAATAGACAATGATAATAATGATATTGATAGTAATTCTCACCTTACTCTCTTCGTTGCAGGTTGTCGTTTAAGAAGAATGGTCGAGAATTTCGAGTCGAGAATTAAAAATTAAATTTTATAAAGCCGATTCCCTAAATAACATAGCTAGACATAAACTATTTACTGAAAAAGACGTTTCTCAAATTAATAATGACAGCAATAATGGTTGCTATACTCCATATAAATTATTTAGAAACGATAATTGAAACTATTTGTAACAATTTAAAAACCCCATCAATTTCAGGAGGAAAAATTAATTATCTCGAATTTAGGAATTCCAATTGTTGCAGAAACTGAAATTAACATACGTATTATAGGCGTTTGGCTAAACGATTAATTACTTATTGGGGAACCACTTTAATAATTTTCGGGTAGCAGGTTGGACTAATGCCTTCGAGAGTTTCTCGACTAACGTGCACAAGGCTGAACTTGCAACAATAAAATAAAGTTGTCAGGCTCCAAAATCTCAGTAAAGTGATTTAAATTGATATCTTTCTTGGAAAAATTTATTGTGCTTTAATGTGATCATGTAGAATTATTGTGCTTGTTATCCTAAAGTACGTAAATGACTGTAATCTATACTTATGCCGCACGAATTTCTAGAAAATATAACAAATTTTTAATTGTTCCGTGGCTGTACTTTTTAAATTAAAGCATAAATTATCATTCATTCAGGCTTAACACCAAGCCACATTTTAATGAGCACTACTGATATAATACCGGGAGCAGAATCAATTTCAAGTGCGTCAATAATAATATCAGGTCAAACAGCCAGTAGGATTTTGAATAAAAGAAACAATGCTATGACAGTCAAGCAATAATTAATTTAGAAAAAAATCTATTTAGAATATTTGAGAACAATGTTGTCGCTCTGATCCCTGGTCAGACGAAAAATGTACACGACTTCTGAAACTGTTGGTATGAAAAGAAGGTGAAAATTATAAGGTCAAGCAAATTGTTAAATTGACGGGTGTGTCAAATTGTCTAGCCAAGCAAATTGCTAACTTGACGGGTGGAAAAAAATGAAAAATGAAAGCAAGTCGATGAAAGCGAACATTGAAACATAATTCGATCAATATGCGCAATCTCATGTTGCTATAGGTCATGAGGCAAACGTAGGTACCTGCATTTGCGTTCAATTCAAAATATATTTATATTAAAATTTTAACGGGGAATTTATTATATTGAATTAATAATTTAATCATTCATTTGAATTAATCTATTATATTAATCTAGCAATTAATAATCATCTAGTAATTAAATCATTCATTTGAATTTTTCGCTATCTTTCCATCGGTCATTACACTATAGTTTGTAAATTATTAGAAATTAGTCTACACGTGAATTATAATTTTGTAATTGAAACTATTTGATGGCTTCAGTCCAACGAACAATCCATTAAAGCTTTTCTGAAAATGAGCTCACTCCTTCAAGTCCATGCTTCATCACATCCTCGAAAGCGCCAACGCATTAGAAAATAATTTTTACAACACAAAAAGCAAGTCACATTTGACTAAATTATTCTTCATGATCACAAGTATAATTTTACTGCACATTCAGTGAAAAATAAGCTTGTATTTGATATAAAGTACAGCAGCAGCGAAAGAAAAACTTCGATTGCAGCAGCATGATTCATACTTACTTGCGGTAATTTGGATAAGAACTGAGCTAAGTCATTGCATATTCGTGTTCAAATGACCCTTTTGCAACTTGAACACAGCTCATGGAACCAGTTAACCAGGCTATTACTTCCACACAACAGGAATCGTCAGCTCGCTAGTGTTACTTTTATTAAATTGTAAGTTGCATGCCCATTTTTTTAACATAAAATATTTCTTATGCTGCTTTATTATGTAGAAAATTGTAATGTTAAATAGAATAAAATACGTTTTCATGATAATAATGCCGATAAACTTTTTTTCTATATTTGCAAGAATTTGCAAAGATCGATAATTGAAACCACCTTTAAATTTATTTTGATGCAGCTGAAGAAATTACAATTCAATCAAAATTATTTCTTGTGATTTTACAATCTAGGAATTCTCACTTGCACGAAATTTATTCTAGCTTCAGAGAATAGAATAGTAAGTGCCCATGTTAATGTATTATAGATTTTTAGTTAATATGTGAATGGCTTTGACTTAAAAGCGAAAAAAACAACGTATCGAAATAAGAAGGAGATCAAGTTTGACTTTTACGAAGAATGACATTCACAACTTAGCCTTGGATTGCCTAACCCACTTCTTAGCTACGTATGTTCTTCGACCCTATATAGCTTGTTATGTTATGCTGCTTAGTATTGGAAGCAGCGATGTCCCTACTCCACGAATTGATTAAGTTGTAAAGCATCTAAATTTTTGACTAGGCTTGACATTTGAGTCTTAAACTGAGCGGAAAACTATACGATTTGTAATTCTGAAAATTTATTTTACTTACAAATATGCATCTAGGTTACTATAAAATTATTTTGGAAAAGTTTAAATTGACTTTTTTTTAATTTGTTCTACGTTTTCTCTTTTTCGCTGGCCTAGCTTAGCTAAGTTTGCTCCAGATACGTGTACGTGATGAAGGCACCAGTTTACCTTGTGTGGCTTTGTAGGCCACGTACATGGGTAATAAAAATTTTCTACATAACTATGTGAATGATTGTCATAAGTACACGTATTGTGCACATTCAAATATCAGTGATACTCAGGTTTGTGTGTGATCATGTGTACAAATATATAAATGAGAATGTAAGTTCATACATTAATTAAAGTTTAAGCTGATTACATAATGTGGGGCTAGCGAAGAAAAAGTGAGGTGGGGGCTAACCTTTTTTGAGGTCAACTTCTAGCAAAAACTTGTTGCAGGGCAAAGCTCTCTCGAGGTTAGATCACCTGTTAGCCTGCACGTTCTAAGATGCTAATACATTATACAAACTCGAACTACTACATCTGTATACAGTAGCCACTAATAACGATTCAATTTAAGACGGTGTAATCCCATATTAATTAATGATTGCCAACTTGACCTTACATTCAGATTATATCACGATACCATCAAATGTTCATAATTGTTCTAGATATCTTTTATGTTCGCTATGTTAAAGACTAGATTCTTTTATTTTGTGAGTTCAGTCTAGTCAAAAGGTCAATAAAATAATGTATGAAATGGAAGAGAAAGATAGAAGGAAAACATAGTCGAAGTACATATGTTAAATAAGGCAAATAGAAATAATTCATCTTATCGCAGAAAATTTTTAATAAATTCACGTGGACAGAACGTAATAATTGTTATAAAGCTTTTTTGAAAGAATTACTGAACCAAAGACAATAATGAGTTGTTATTATAGTTGAAATTCATATTCTATTATATGATTTGGCTTCATTTTACTTCTAAGGATTCCCTGAAATTTTACAATAATTTCGTAACAATGAAAATGAATGTAACTGTATGCTCCTCCTTACGATAATACCGGATGAGAATAATTTTAATGAAAAAGGGGAATAATATTCAATATAAATTTTGCTCAATGCTAAAAATTTATAAAAAAGCCAAACTCGTATCTGTCTATCCTGGAATCGAAATGCCAGAATTCGACTTTGTTTAGCCAGAATATACCGACGAATTACGTTAATTAATTAAAATTATTTACTAACTGATAACTGATTAAATAAAATTATAATTAATTTGACTTTGTTGAGCCGAAATATACCGAAGAATTGCGTGAATTATTTAAAATTAATGAATAAACTAATTAAATAAAATTATAATTAATTTGACTTTGTTGAGCCGAAATATACCGAAGAATTGCGTGAATTATTTAAAATTAATGAATAAACTAATTAAATAAAATTATAATTATTTCGACGTTGTTGAGCCGGAATATACCGATGAATTACGTTAATTAAAATAATTAATAAAGTAATTAATTCAAATTATTAATGAATTCGACTTTGTTGAGCCGGAATATATCGACGCATGACCACAGGTAATGCGGTTCAAGGTTGATAAGGTAAGAGGGAGATTTATTGAACGTTGCTTCATTCATTGCTACACCGATATATCGGGTTTGACTAAAATTATTTTATTTTCATCGACAAAGATCAATTTCAAACCGATGTATTAGTAATAAATCTGTTACAACGTCTATGAATTTATACTCAAAGCATTGATGTGTTAAAAACATTTATAAATTTTGATTAATTTCTTGATGAAATGAAATGTTAAACGCTGTCTCGGAAACATTTATGCTACTGTATTTATTCGACGACATTTTCCACTAAACAAAAATATATGTTACGACTGCAATTAAATTATCATTAAATATGGCCCCAAGATGACATTTGCGTACCCAATAATTATGTACATCCAAATCCCAAATTTAATATGAATAACTAATTAATTAACAATCATCAAAGAAATATTCATCCAGGAAGTCGTCACTATAGCCACCTATATCGCGCACTTGGGTTTTACGTTCAAACAAAAATTCTCCAGAAAAGGTTATCAAAGATGACAATTGAATACCCAACAATAATGTATATACATCCAAGTACCGATTGAAAATGAAAAATTACCTAATTATAATCAATAATCATAATCAAAGAAATATTTAGCCAGGAAGTCGTCACTATAGCCACCTATATCGCGCACTTGGGGTTTTACGTTCAAAAAAAGATTCTCCAGAAAAGGCGCTCCTTTCTCTCTGCCGGTCAACGCGTGCCTCGGAGCAAGGTTAGCTCGCTTGACATGCCAGCGGCAGAAGCTCGTGCTTTTAATAGGAAGTTCCTCAACGTCTTGACCAATACATTGGAATCATTCATAGAATCCAATAGTTAAGTTTTAATTCCTTGTTTAAACAGGGTTTTTAATAAATAAGCTTCCAAATGTGATGGTCATAATATAAAACCTGCATTTCTTGTTTATTCAGCAAACATTTTGTTATTAAATGAGAAAAATTTCGATGCATTGAGAGAAATTTACAGTTCTTCTACAGTATTTCTCAAGTTTTTGTAATGAAGTTTAAGTTTTTGCTTTATCATGAAGTCGAACTGAAACCAAATTGGCTTTACATAATAATATAAATGAAGAGTTTACCAAGAGAACTTAGGCCAGACAAATAAAATGTTTACAACGTTAACTAAATTTGTTAGCAGATTCTTG